ATTAAATATAATTGATATTATTGATATCACATTGGAGCGATGGGCTGCCATCATGGGGCGCCCGGGGAGCAGTGTTGGGTTAAAGGTCTTTGCTCAGGAACCCAGAGTGGTAGTCTGTGGCAGTGGGGCTCGAAGTCAGAACCTCTGGATTCCAAGCACAGTGCTCTAACCACTAGGCAACACAAAAGATGATAAATGATGATAAATAACTATCTCTGTCTCTGTGTTGGTGGTGGCCTAGTGGTCAGACCATAGAGCTGGGAATCCTGAGGTTCTGCGATTGAACCCCACTTCCATAGCTACTCTGGGTCCCTGAGCAAAGATGCTTAACCCCACACTGCTCCCAGGGCACTGCACAATTGCAGCCCACCACTCCCAACGGGGACATTTTTTTGTTTTAAAGCTTTATTATAATTCATGTAGGGAGTATTACAGGTTATATGGAGAAAGATGAAAGAAAGAGGATGAAAGGGAGTTAATGATAAAAACATCTTTAGTCTGCTTCATGTAAAAACAACAGCACAACCAATGGATATAGTATGAGATACAATAAAGTAGCACCTGGATACGCTGAAGTATAAGTAGTATTATTTAATCTGACATGTATAATGTGTTAGCTGAAGATGAGAATATGGGCTTTCTGAGTGGAAGTGAATCTCTAAGTACCTGGAACCAAGCATCTGTATTTGTTTGTGAGAGTGTGCTTGTACATGTAAAGTTTATCCAAAGGGAAAATGCTCAATAGTGGTTGTGAAGAGCCCAAGGCGTGCCCCCCCTCAGAGCGCCAAGGCAGGCGTCGGGGGCCCCAAAGCCCCAGATGTCCAAAGAAATCCCCAGAGCAAAGGCGCCCAAGAGGGGCCAACCCAGGAAATCTGACCCCCCACTAAGGGAGCCAGCCACCCGAAATGGAACCGGCCATATGCCGGTTAAATGCAGAGAGTTTATTTGCTCTGTACTTGTGACAGTGTAAAAAAAAAAAACGCTGAAAAAAAAAAAAAAATTCATACCAAACAAAAATGTCTGGGAGCATCGTGGGGACTTTATGGCTGTGCATTTCAGATGCAGTGTTTACACCTCGGACCGCATCATCAAATAACAGGATCTTGCGCTGCTGACACCCCACCCATGTCACAAAAGAGCATTCCTTATGTCTTCCTTTGTCAACATGAATTTTTCTTTATTCCATTCTGACTTAAAAAAGCTTTTTCTCCACTTGCACTTGTTCAGCGTACGTTACAACCACAACCAGTACCTGACATGTTACCACGAACCAACACCTCAGGTTTGTCAAGCAGCACATGGTGAAAGCAGCATGTGATCATTATCACCACATGGAATTCTCCTCTGGCAGCCTTACCACTCTTGCCAGAGCAAGTTTCATAGGGGTACTACCGGTGTGTTCAGACCCAGTAGCTGCAACCTCTGAATGCCAGATTTTTCGGCCAATTACATCATAGCCCGGCGTTGCCTATTCGGATTGGCAGACTCCTGTTTGTGCGGAAAACAAATGCAACCTTCTTTTCGTCCCATTTTGTAGGACAGGTCCAATGTATCCTCCGTAGAATACAGAGGTATTCTACGGAGGTATTCTATCCTCAGCAAGTCGGCTGATCCGTAGAGAAAAAAGGGACATGGTGACCAAAAGTGGTGAATATTGTAAGTGCAGTTTAACATAACACAAGTATGTGAATCTTCTCATCTTAAATTAATGAAAACAGTCATTCAAATGGTACTGCGTCAGATATGTGGCGGGTAATATTTGGTTTATTGAAAGGTTTTATCTGTCCCTGAGCAAATAGGTTTGGCTGACATTAAGCATGAATTTCAATAACTGCAGTCTAGGGACTATGACTCTGATATTTCCAACAACAGTACTGCTGCTGAAGCTTCTTGACAATGTAATAACAGTAATAGTCATAGTTGCTAGGTGACAGAGCGTACACTGAGCGAGGGGCGATGGAGGCCGGAGAGACCTGGATCTGTTTGAACCCATAGCCAAACTCTTCCTGTCTCATTATTTTCACGAACCTCAAATGACCAAGTCTAACTGGACTCGGTCATCGGAGGACACAGTTGCTGAAATCACACATCCTATGTAAATCCACTGCCCTTTCCATGGACACCACATTCAGTGTAAATGCATCTTTAGAGATGTCAAAAGTTTATGGTGACCAGATGTCCCCAATTTCTGGGGAAAGTCCCCGTATTGGATCGTCTGTCCCTGACTAAAGCTGTCCCTGAAAATGTCCCCCATTTTATAATTTTGTGAATGAGGGAGTAAAGTTAACGTTTAGACTGTTGCTATGGTAGAAAGAGCTCATGCAACAGCTGGCTGTGCTCTTCTAAAAATAAACAACTTCCAAGATGTGTTAAACAAAAATCTTACTTTAATTTAGCAATTTTTCATGTGGCACATTAGAATGTTTTTGGAGTGAATGGAATTATGTCTTTGTTTTAGAATAGTGTAAAATGATAGAAGATGAGGAAGATGGGAAGACTGATGGAAAGAACACTTCAAGAGAATAGAGAGAAATCTACCAAGAAGAGTGAAGCAGAGAACAGGCTGAAGTCAGAAGAAGGCTAGAAAGAAAATGACCATAGTAACCAGCCAGATACACCTGGATTAATCAACCTGTCCATTGATTAAAGACAGGAAAAAAAGGAGTTGGCTGAAGCTCATGAAGTAGTGGTGCTCTGCATGTAGCCATTAGCTTTGACCACTACTTATTTTTGATCGATGTTAATGCAGGAAAACATAATTCTCATAGGTATGTAGATATGAACAGTATGTGTAATTGTTACACCTTTTTTCTAAGAGGTTGGGGAACTCTGTCTCCACAGACAGGCACAAACTAAGTGTTGGAGATTCTTGTCATTTACTTTTGTTTTTTTTTTCCTTGTGTCAAACTCCCATTAGTGAAAGCCCTGGTAGCCACCCGTGACCCCCTCCACTCAAAAACACTTCTCATTTCCTATTAATAAAAGTATTGACGTATTCATTGTATTAATCTCTGGCTATTCTAACAGTGTGGAGAACCACATTCCTTCCTTTTATACTTGATTTCTGTTACTTAATGCAAATAAACGTGTAAAAATAAATTTAACTATTACTGCCCCACTTTCCTAAATTTATTCTTAATGAGGTTTCTATCTCTTTATCTACCAGCTCTAAATGTCCCAGGATTTGATTTCAGAAATCGGGTCACCTTACTAAAGCTGGTGCTGTTATGGCGACAGAGGAAAGGACAACGCCCTACAGAGGTGCATCTCTTTGTGAGTTGTATTTATGTCCAGATGTGGGACTATCATGAAGAAAGCCGTTTGGACTATTGGGAAAACAACAGAAAAGGCACAGTTCACTTGTTTGCAGAACTAAACAAGCTCACATGAAAATCTAAGAAGTAACAT